CAAAATTGATGACGTCAAATTTTCAAACTCAATTTTTAGCAATTCTAGACCTCGTAGCGCAAAACAAAGACCACCATTAGACTCCCCGTGACGAGCTGCATCGAGTCAATACCCATTTTATGCAAAAATATCAACTTTGAAATTTGACCTTTTTTGACCTGACCTTGACCTGACCTCCACCAGAAAGTGACCTAAACCGTACCTGATGGTCTAATAACCAACACCATTGAGTTGGAAATGAAAAACTGGCCATAAAACATGCATCGCATAACCTTAGTAAAGTTGGGTTCATGTGGTGACCCTTGGTGACCTTTGGTGACCTGACCTGTGACCTGACCTGGTATGACCAGTGACCTCTAACAGCAACATATCTACTAGGCAACTGACGCCCTATCGCTGATTCCCGACAAAATGCGTTTTCCTCGGTGTTATAGCGCATTCCCTAGAAGACCCGTGAACGGTGAAACATTTCATCTTTGACCTGACCTGTGACGTCATCGGTGACCCCGAGGTCAATAAAATTTGGTTTCCCCCGACAAATTTGACAGGCCTTTCGAACGCCGTTTGAATTTTTCGGATCCGTCCAGTAGTTTCGGAGATACGAGGGGGGGCAAAAAATAGCCCCCCCCCACCAGGTCGCGTTATAAACAGACCCCACCAGGGCGCGGGCTAAGATTCAGTTCAAGATTTTGGAAAATGCGTAACGATAATCAATAATCAAAGATAGCCATTTGTTTGTTCATGGTATTGGCAGTCTAATAGCGTTTACGGAATGTCTGTATGTCTTTTCTGTGATTTTATATGATTTTTTGAACATATGCCGTTTTTGGTCGAAAACTCAAAAATCATGACGTCACTAAAACCTCGATATCTCAAACAATTTCCAACTGATTTTTTTGAAACTTTGTCACAATAAACTTCAATAAATTACCTACAGGTACCTAAAATTTTGCGCGCCTGCGGCGCGCCATTTTTATGCTATGGCCCGGCGAAAAAGTGGGGGCGTTTAACGCCCCCCCCCCCCAGCAACTCGCGGGTTAAGTCGTTATGCATTGAATTGCTCCTGACTTTTGATTTCCTGTTCGCAACTATTTGTCGGATTTTTAATGTCTGCATATCAGGAGAAAGAGTGGGTTTGGTGGGTTTCACGGTAGAAATCTGCACGCCACCGTTTGCCACAGTTTATCGGTCAGGTCCCAGCTGGGGCATTCCACGATAGATCGTACCAGGCCCGTCACCCTCATCTCTCAGATTTTAATGAAAATCGGTCCTAAGGGTAATCATAGGCCCCAAAGACGCCTGGCAAAATATCAGACTTCTCAGATCAAAACTTTTTGAGTTATATTGCATTACATTTTTTTTAACTTCGGTATGTAACGGTGAGTTTGATGGCCTATAACTCAAGAACGGGTTAAGCAACCAACAAAAAGTAAACAACACTAAGCTTGCGATGAATCAAAAATCAATATTACTATTTAAAAATTGCAAAGAAAAAAATTCATTGTTGAACAAAAACCTGCATCTTTTTTCATTTGCCTCTAATGACTTTTGGGACCAAAATTTTTCACATTTTTATTTTTTCAAAATAATCTTCATGTCATTACAAATCGACATCCAAAAAATTAGAAAGGTGTTCTTTCTATAAGTTCCTCATTTTCCCGCAAACAAAATGGGTTTCGGAGGGGTTGATACGACCCCAGCACGCCGTTTCGCTTCTAATAGAGCTAGAGCCTCGCGGAAAAAACGAGCGTGTGTGCCGTTACAAGTCGCAACGATTGGTACCCGATTTTAAGGTCTCAGGTTAACCGGTAGCGTCTGAGGTCAGGTCACGTGGCTGAAGTTACGGGTTCGGTTTTTAGTAAATAACTTCGCAAAAAATGGCCGCAGAGCCGCGATTTTGGCATCATTGTGTTCGCCTAGCTCAGGTGCATCGAATGGTATACTTTTTGCTAGGGTGAGGTCAACTTAAGTAGTTGACCTCGGGTCAAGGTCAGGTCATAGCCCCTCAGGTCACGAAGCTGGGCAAAGGGTATCATATGGCATATCATTCGATTCGGAAGGTCTTCCCGAGTCCATTGGTGGCTTTCCCGACTCTCTAGCTCCATTTGATCGGGAGTTATTGACGAAAAACTCGTACGACCCTAGTGACGTCATAAATGACGTCACGCAAGGTTAACAATGCAAAAGTAAAGCATTGGACTTTGCAAGGAGTGCATGAAATCACGATACCATGTACGTGGGATAGTTTTAGATCATTCTCGGCGCCAAAATAACAGTTTTTATATTTCCCCATTGATTTATAACGGTGATGTCACGTGACCGACCTGACCTCATGTAACCTTGAAAAATTCCCAGATATACAAGTTGTGAGACCTCTGGAGGACACCATGTATGCGTCATGTAACTTTCATCTCGGACAGCTATGGTCATTGGCGTCCAAAACAATGTCAGAACCAAACAGCCTTTTTGACCCTCGTGCTTATAGGAAAGAGGGTTGAATGAACCCTCTTTTCACTTTTTTCAGATGACTCAGACTTTAATTGAGATTTCAGTAACCCGTGATGTCACTAGGCAGCTTTACCACGCCATTTGTAAGCTCCCCTCCCGAAATCACTATTCAAACCGTTATCGTGACGTCAAATAAATACATTTATAGAAAGAACACCTTCCTAATTTTTTGCATACTTCCTAACAATGAGCCAAGTATTTTTTTAAAGAAATACAAATTCAAAAAAAAAATTGGTCCCAAAGTCCAAAAAATACAAATGAAAGAAAACTCGATATGTCATATATCAAAAATAGCCTATTTTTCGAAATTTCAAAAATACATATTAATCTCTGTTTCATTGCAAGTTCAATGTTATATAACATTTGACATTTGAATAATCCGTCTTAGAGTTACAGCCCGCCAAACTTAGCGCTGCAAAGCAAGATCCAAAAAATGTTATACGCCATAACTCAAAAAATACTTATCTGATAAGCCTGAAATTGTTACAGGTGGATTCAGAGCCCCTGATTACCCCTGAGACCAATTATCGTCAAATTCTGAGAGATGAGGGTGTCAAATTGGAAAAAAGTGGTACGATCTATCGTGGAATGCCCCAGCTGCCATGAATGTGTCACACGCCTGACGAAGTGTATAGCAAACAGAGCTACCGGGGCCCGTCAGCAGCTCTTTACAGATCAATGTGACCACCCTGATCGGTGGCATTCCATGATGGCTTACAGTGATGATAACCTACCACAAGCCTTGGTGGCTTACCGTTGGTTGTTGACAGAGCCATTAGTGCTTTACCAGATCCACGGTAGAAAATAAATTTTCCGTGACAAGCAGCATGAGGCAGAAGCACGATTATTTCAAGCAAGGTACTACTCTTTCGGTGTAAATCTAAAATAGCTTTATCAAAAGCACCGATAAATTCATTTTTGATTGAGGCGTCACATATTTATTTGACTTTTGCATACTTCACTGCAGGCTCAAATGCAAATGCATTTTTTTCAAATGCAGGCTGCAATTTTCAAAGCCAGAAAATTGTCGGTTTTTCACCCACGAAAGACGCCGCGCCATTGTCTCTCGGTATGTACCGAGGTGTGAGCAGCTCAGCTCAATTCCTGGTTTATCGAGGGGGGGCGGTAGTTACCTTGGTCGGCTCCCTGACAGTGCCAGCGGCAAACGACCAGTGGAAGAATGAATGGCGCCACCCACTGTGCCTTTTACATGGTCCGCGGGTCAACTGACATACCGTGCTAAATGGCCATAAGTTCCGGTACGGTGCTCCGTGCCGATTTTTGTTTGTCACCGACTCACTTTATTCTGGTTGAGAACAAATTTCGCACAGTGTCGCACAGGCGACCCGTGTGACCTTGTGCGAGTGTAAAATACAAAACACGATTTGTCAACGTTGTCGGCGGGCCGCCGAAGCACCTCGGTTGTCGTCCCGGCCCGCGGCCGCCCGCTGACCGGCGCGCTGTGACCCAACCGCCGCGAAACCTTTCCACCTGTTCTCACCGGCGCCGCCGCACGCGTCTCCCGCTCGCACAATGCGCCAAATGGGATTTCACGGACGGCTGAGCACGAATGCGGCGCACTGGGGGCGAGCGCGGCGCACGCCCCGCCCGGTGTGCGTCACAATGGTCACCGTCGGCTCGCGCTGGCGGCGGTCGCGGCGCAGCGGCGGCGGTGGGTATATGTCGGGTCAAGGGCGGGGAGGGCGCCGGCGGCGCGGTCACGCCTGGCTGGAGGGCGCCGGGGCGCCGCGGGGCACCAGGAGGTCGGCAGGTGCCGGCGCCCTCCCCCGCCGCCGGCTCCCCTCCCCGCGGCACGCACCCTCCTCCGCTGCTCCGACGGGGAGGGGCCGCTGCCGGCTGCAGGCCGCGACACCGCGACTCCGCGGCGGCGGCGGCGGCGGCGACCCTTTGTTCACGGCCTATGCAAATCGAGCGGTCCTTTTGCGCCACCGCTCACCATTACCCATTTACGCCTATCATCGGTTTTGTTTTTCAACCGTTCATGCCTGCTCGTCAGTCGCCACCAAGTATTGTTTTGCCGAGTTGCAGAGTTGTCCCGGGTACTGGGGAAGGGGAGGGGAGGGGTGGGGTGGGGGGGACTGCACATCGACCGGCGGTCCGTGTTGTCCCTGTAACCCTGGTGACCCCCCACTGACGTCATCAGGCCGGGACACCGCGCCGCCGACTCACTGGACACGCTAGACGCTAGAGTCTCCTCGCTACGGGACAAGGCCCATTGGAACCCGGACATCCAAGTCCTTGACGAATGTAGAGAGTTCCCATTTTATTTTGTTGTTGTTGCTGACTAGCCTTTACGAGGCAACAGTGCACTTACATCTCAAGTGTTCCATGAACGCCCCGGCTCCCCATTAGTTACAGTACGACGCCGGTGACCGGTAGGGGCGCTGCAGTCGCCCAGCGGCCCGAGGTCGGCGCTAACCGGTACCATGACTCAGCGGCGCCCCGCCCCGGGGTTATTACATACTGCGCAGTTGCAGCGGTCCAGACCGGGACAAAGGCCGACGGAGGGGCACGAGCTGCGCTGCGTCCACCGGCCGGGTCAGTGGACAGAGCCGGTGGTCCAACAGTGTGTGGACGGTACTGAGCTCTGTTTACCGGAGCCGACCACGGCGGAGGCGGCGAATATCAGGTGAGCAGGACCGACCTGCGTGTGTGTGTGGGGGGGGGGAGGTCTGTGTGTCCCTGTGTCTGTTGTCTGAGTGTGTTTTGTGCGTCTGTGTCTATAGTCAGACAACATGTGTTTGTGTAACGGTGTGTATGTGATTCTGTGATTCTTTGTGTGTCTTCTCTGTGTGCTAGGTACCCGTCTGAGTGTTTGGATGTGGGTGCTTACATGCATTAACGGGGAAGAGGGCATAAGAGGCGGAACGGGGGTGCACCGGGGAACCGTGTCCCCTTGATTTCGGCATTTTAACATAAGCCCTATGGGCTTTGCATGGAAAGAGTGGAGCTAAAAGTCAGAAATGCCCCTTTAACCCGCGCCCCACTGGGGGGGGGGGGCTATTCATAGCCTCCCTCCCGTTTTTCTGCAATAACTTCCAAACTGCTTGACGTATCGACGCCAAACTTTCAGTACCTTCGGCTGCATCAATTTGACACCTTGTGTCAAACTTTGAGCTTCGTACCTACAATAGGTCGGCCGGAAATGACGTCAGAGTGACGTCATGTTCGGCCGATTTCGACGCAAAACATTGAACCACGGCAATCGCTCCCAAGAGCTCAGTTTTTAAGCTAGATCCAATTTATTTGCATGAGAGGACTCAGAATAGACGGCGCTATCAAACTGCCATCTCGAATTTTCGAAATTTTGAAAATTTCGAAAATTTAATATAATAAAATTCAAAATTTATATTTTTACATTTTTTTTAAAGTTTTTGTATTTTCGAAAAAAACGGAATATATGGGATAGAACTCATTATTATGACTAACTCTAGCAAATTTAAGCTAAATATCTTCAAAAATGGCCAAGTTTTACGCATTATTGCAAAAAATCACAATTATTAATTTTTCAAATCAATTTTTCATCACGTATTTGACATCGTACGCCAATATCAATAGCACCATCGTGTTCCTGAGCTAAAACTGCATCCAATATACACCTTTTTTGTTGAAAATTTTAACTTCAAAATTTGACCTTTTTTGACCTGAAAGTGACCTGACCTAAGCTAAATATGACTCAAAATGACCTCGAATGACACAAACGACATCAAATTCGAATTTTTTTGCCTAAATGGACCATAAACCATGTGTCACTTGACCGACGCATGATATAATATTTTCGTGACCTGTGATGACCTGACCTTGACCTGAAAATCAAAGTACAAGTTTGGTACCCTCAGGGTATCTAGAGCATCTGTTCACGAGTGTGTGAACCAAAAATGAGCCTTATCTGACTTGTAAGACGGCGGCCAGAGCCCAAAACGTGAACAAGCCAAAATGCTAATATCTCTTATTTTGACCTGACCTGTGACGTCATCGGTGACCTCGAGGTCAATGAAATTAGGTTTCACTCGACAGTTTTTCCGGGGCTATCAGACGCCGTTTGAATTTTGACGATCGGCCCAGTAGTTTCGGAGTTAGGAGGGGGGCTATGAATAGCCCCCCCCAGTAGGGCGTGTTATACGCAGACCCCAGTGGGGCGCGGGTTAATTGAAGGTGTTCCGCGCTACTGCAAGGGGGCAAATGTTCCGCAGTGGCTGCCAGTTGCCTCTGCAGTGACGAGATTTTGCCCACCCTGTAGGAGTAAATATGAGACACTTCAAATATTATCCAAGCTGTAAAACCCGATGTGAAGGTCAATCAATTTCCTGTTTCATTTTCATATTTTGTCGCAAGTGTTTACACTGTTCTTAGTCTGATATCGTAGAGAACATCCAGCGGCGTATCCACAATCTTGAGATTACCTTTACCTTAGGGTACCCAGTGGAAACTTTTTAGCCCGCGTCCTGGTGGGGGGTATTTTTTGCCCCCGCCCCCGTTCCAGTCGTTTCGCAATATCTCTCAAACTAATGCTCCGATCGCCGCGAAAATTTGAGAACCCTCTTTTAACCCACGCGGGGCTGGGGTCTCCAGCCGAACGCGCGGGGCTGGGGGGGGGTAAATTTTACCCCCCCTGTTATCTCCCGAACTAACGGTCCGATTTGGAAAATGCAAACGCCAATCGAAAGCTCTCATCACGAACTACTAAAAACATGTACTTAATTTTAAGTTTGAGGTCAAGGTCAAGGTCAGGTCAAGGGTACAACTTGCAAGTTTCTACAGTATCGGCCTTGCACCGTAGTTGCCGAAGAATGGAGTCATGGACTGAGACTGATCGCCCAAAACGTGTTCTTAGGCTACCAAGACAATATTCGTTGCATACAATATCATTCAGAGGTCAAGGTCAAGGTCAGGTCAGGTCAGGTCAGGTCACCAAAAAACAAAATATAGAAAAGGGCATGTGCGACACATGTTTTATGGGTCATTTTACTCATATAATTCAATAGGCACACTCAATAAGTGATATGGACCACCTCTGGATGAATTTCAGGTCGAGGTCAGGTCAAGGTCAGGTCAAGTGAGGTCAAATTTTGAAGTTGGTTGTTAAGGCCTCAAAAGGTGTCTATCTGATGCAGTTTTTCACGGCGAATCGAATGGTGCTATTTTTGTTTCCGTAAGAGGTCTAGAACTTCCAAAAAAGTCATTTTTCAAAAAATTTGTGTGTCGTGACGTCATAAAATTTTGAATAACTCCCACATTTTTGAACCGATTCTTCTAAAATTTGGTATGTAGGTGCACATAGACCACTTCTCTGACATATATTCCGGTTTTTTCGATAGACTCAAAATTTTGGATTTTATAATGATTTTTCCAAAAAAGTCAGTTTTTTGAAAAAATTTAGGCCCAAATCCAAAATTTTCAAAAAACCGAGATAGCCATTTGATAGACAAAGTAAAATTACGTATAACCTTTTTTGTTACGTCTTGATTCCTTTAAAAATGAAGATGTTAGCGGCGTTTGAACTTTTGCCGTTTTTGAGGCGAAAATGACGAACATGACGTCACTAAAACGTCAATTTCTCAAAAATTTTCCGACGGATTTCGCTCAAAGTTTCAGGGAACGTGTCAAATTGATGTGAGAAAAGGTACTGAAAGTTTGGCGGCGCTGCGCGCCGCCGTTTTTGAGATATCGCAAAAATTCGCGAGGGGGGGTAAAATTTACCCCCCCAGCCCCGCGCGGGTTAAATAGGTTTTACACCTCGTTAGCTTTTCGTCCACAGTCTATGATAGGTTGGCCGCAAATGACGTCAGAGTGACGTCATGTTCAGGCATTTCCGACCCAAAAGAGGTTTGATGGGAGGATCTGTCAAGCCCAAATTTTTAAAGATAAAGAAAAATGTTGAAAAACAAAAAGATAAAAAAACGAGCAGCGCTACAAAACTGCTATCTTGTTTGTTATATATTTGCTTTGATTTTGAACTCCAAATTAAAGGGACCCTCCCACCTTAACATTAGTTTTGAGTTGAGATGGCCCAAGTTTGCGGCCAGGCTCAGAAACCACCATTTATCCTGGTCGCAACCCCCGCAGCTTTATGGTGTTCAAGAAATTTCTTCACTTTACTTGCAGGGTGGGACCAGCGTGGTCCCTATCTCTTAACCATTACGGGAATCTGATGACGTCATCAGGCTTTCGAACGTCCGTTAAATGTTTGACTAAAACGTTTTGTAGCGCGCGGTGGTATATGCTGCTTTGCGCGCAACAAATGCCGCACTTTCAAATAAAGTCGCTAGGAACAGCCGAGATCCCAAAAAGTAAACAAAAGTAAAAGTATAATATCTTGAAAACCGGTAAATATTTTTCGATGAAATTTGGTAGATATTCGTTTTTGCTCTTTCTGAACCGAGCGACATCACTTTCATGCCAATTCATTAACTTTTTTGAAGGTGGGAGGGTCCCTTTAACCCGCGCCCCGTTGGGCTCTGCCGAGCAACGCACCCCGTTGGGGGGGGGGGGCAATTTTCCCCCCAAAAGATCTCGAGAACCACGCAACCTAGCGACAAGCGGCAACTGGTGTTGGATAGCCCTATCAGGGAACTACCTTATGACCCAATTTTGTTGACCTAGGTCAGACCGATGATGTCACAGGTCAGGTCAAAGGTCGAATTTTCACCGTTTACAGGCATTTCAAGAAATGCGTTGTAAAATCGAGTAAAATGCATTTCATTGAAAATCATCGATGGGGAAATGTTCTTCAAACACATATTTTGCTCTTTGAGGTCACTGATACCAGGTCAGGTGACAGAGGTCAGGTCACCAGGGGGGGGGGTCACAATATAAAAGTGTCGTGTGATACATGTTTTATGGTCCATTTTAAATGACAAATGCGATTATGTGGGTCAGGCAGACTTTTGGGCCAGCTTTGGTCACGTTTTGGTCAAGGTCAGGTCAAGGTCAGGTCAAGGTCAGGTCAAGGTCAGGTCAAGGTCAGGTCAAGGTCAGGTCAAGGTCAGGTCAAGGTCAGGTCAAATAAGGTCAAATAAGGTCAAATTTCAAAGATGATATTTTTGCATAAAATGGGTATCGATTTGATGCAGCTCGTCAGAGGGAGTTCAATGGTGGTCTTTGTTTTGCCCTACGTGGTCTAGAATCGCTAAAAATTTAGTTAAAAAATTTGACGTCATCATTTTTGAATTTTTTTTCGCTATAATTTGGCCAAAAAACAAGATATCGGTCTGAAATTTGGTATGTATATAGAAAAGCACAGGTACTATCATATATATTCCGTTTTTCGAAATTGGGAATTTTTTGGATTTTTTTAGTTTTTCTAAAAAATCAATTTCTTGGATTTTTGGGGGTCAAAAACCAAAAAAATTTGAAAATCCGAGATAACAGTTTTGTAGCGCCGCTTTTTGTCGACTAGACCATAAAAAGAAGTTTGAAATTGCTTTGTAACTGTAGATTTGGTGAGCGTTTCAAGATTGCATGTTTTTTGCTCATTTTTGCTCGAACACGACCTCAGTTGGACCTCAATAACTCCTGACCTAACGTGACCTAAGACTTGAAATTTGGTGTGAAGGTGTCAAATTGATGCCCGGGAAGGTACTGAAAATTTGGCGGCGCTGCGCGCCGCCGTTTTCTTGCTATTCAGGA